CTTTTACCCTTAAATCTAACTAAGTGTTGTGTCCTTCACCTTGGGAAGACAAATCCGCGATTTACATACAAGATCTCTGACCACAACATCGAAGCAGTTTCTAGCCACACTGATCTGGGCGTTGTAGTCAACGATCGTCTTTCCTGGTCAGAACATATTCACCACGTTACATCAAAAGCCAAGAAACTTCTATACATGCTGGAGAGGTCTTTCAAAGGATCCGATGTCAACACTTGCGCCCACATTTACAAGGCATTCGTGAGGAAAATTCTTGAATTCGCTGGCCCGGTATGGGACACTGTGCTTCTGCGCGATAGAAATCTCGTCGAATCAGTACAGCGTCGGACTGCTCGTATCCTTTTTGGAGCACGAAGACCAAGCTATGAAGATCGCCTTGAATTATTCAACCTGACCTCATTCTCTGAGCGAAGACTTCCTGGCGATCTTATAGTTACGTTCAGGATACTTCATGGTTTGATGGGCACCAACCTCATGCATCTATACCGTCTGTCGCGCAGCAATCTACGCGGACACAGCTTCAAACTGCATAAGGAGCCATTTAAAACAAAGTGCACAAAGTGCAGTATGATAGCTGGAGGAGTGTACAAACTTTATAGCTATGAACTGTCTTTTTTTATTTTTTTCTATTTGATGTATTTGTGTTACGTGTCCGTACACTATATTTACTGCATGAGCTTATAGTACTGTGTACTCTGCTCATCTCAATTATCGTAATAATAATAATAATAATAACTCTACGAGACAGTTTTGCTACTAAGCATCCGATCGCTGACCAATGCTTTGGAAAAGAAGATAGACCTGTTAGCAATGTGCTCCTTCTTATTGGATATACTGCACGCTTAGGAAGAAATGATATGATCGGAATTTGTGCGAGAAAAAACGGCAGTAATTGATCGTTTTATTGTAGATCGGAAACGAACGCAAAACCGGTAAATCTACTGCAAAGACGGTAGAGCTGAATTCGCTGATTGCAGGCCCAGTCAACAAATATGTGAGCATTTTAATTAGTAAAAAGAAGTTTTAAAGTACTTAGGCCTCGGAGCCTCAAGCCCACCATATACAAAATCTATTGACTACCTGACCGTTGTGGTTTTGTAAATGTGTTCTTTGTGTCGAATCGGACAGCTGTTTGTACGCCAGAAAACTCCAGCGGCGGGGCGTTTTTTTACAGGCAATTCTTAAGGCATCCTCTAACAATAGTACCTCTCGATTTTACACATTTTTCGTGATCTACTTTTCAAAATCCCAACTGTGTGATAATTGACTGTATGATGTCATAACTGCTCCAATATAACAAGTGATAACCTCATAAAATTAATTACCTCACAGTGGGTACGTACTCACACTCCCAGTTCGTTGTTAGTGGAGCATGGATGAGAAAATTAACCAAATGGCTTCAAAGAAATTATGTGATTCTATGGCAAGTAAATATTTTACTATCTACTCTACATTCCGCATAGTTGTAAAAATTCAAAACTGCAAATCTCAAGCCGCCTGCCAAAACATGACCTCCAAATTAATATAGTTTCTTTGACTTGTGTAAGTACACTAATTTCGATTTGTAATATTGCCACCAATAAATTTTCATTGTAAACGCAATCGAAAACAATACAAAAATATTTATAAGCGTATGTTTTATAAATCTCATTCAATATGCTTAAGTATGCATATTATAAAAAAGAAATGTATTCTGTATAGAGAACGAACGAACATAGCATAACATAAAATATTTTGTTTTTAAGAAAACAATAAAGCAAAATAATCAAAAGTAGATATTATAATTTAATTTTGAGTTTTATTGTACATTGACGAATCCATTCTTCTAAACAAATCGTTAGGGATGCTAAAGTTGTAGCAACTGTCATTTTTCAATAAAACTTTGGTATGTAAAATTCCACTTAAACTTTCAGTCGATAATGTATTTCTTATTTTAGTTTTGTTTAAATTTATTTGGGAAAATATCTTTTCGACATTTGCACTTGAATGTGGCAGACTAAACAGATTTAACACAAAATTAGTTAAGGTTGGAAACATAAAGAAGAATTATCACCAGATTTTAATGTTGAAATTTATTCCCAAAATTCCTGAATGCTTAAATTTGTATATTCACTTAAATCAAGATTTCTTAGGCAACGCCATTCTTTGTCAATTTTATTTACGTTATCAGTTGTCAGGCTGGGGAAATGGAAAACTAGAGGTACTAATGATGCTTTTATTTGCAATTACTTCATCTGGTGATGTAAGTGACATATGTTTTAGGGTAGCGACAGTTTTGCTTTTATTATCAAATCTTGTATAAATTTGAAAACAACTTTCTATTAAAAAATCTAAACACCACTTTTTGAAGTCAAATAATTATATATTATTTAGTTTATGTTCATTTTTACTTATAGCACCTAAATAAATGTTTTCTATTTCCACAAAATTATGAGGATTTTTATATTCTCCTTTTTCAATGAAAGTTTTATCTAAATAATCCTTTTTCATGTAACAATCCAAAATTGTTCTTAACACATGTTAAAGTCGTTTATATAAAATATGTATTTTAATATTTTCGAATTGCATTTCTAAATTCAATTCCATAAAAAACGGCAGCACAAGGTTTAAACAATGTAAATACAATGTTTTAGATGGATTTTGAAGGCAATTAAGATATTTTGTGATTGAATGCCATTTTTATTGTAGCACTGATCCGTAAAATATAATCTTAAAGCATCATATTGCTCAAGTATTCTTTTTAGAACAGGCAATACAGACAACCGCCTTGTTTGAGAGGGTTGTGAAATTTTATGGGGTGCTACAAACTCCTGAAATTGATGAAATATCATCTGGTAATTTAGCACAAGCATAATTAGCACATAAACTAGGTGGATGACAGACACATTTCATAATGAATAAATTAGGAATATCGGCTTTTAGTTTGGTGGATAATGAAACATGAATTCCCATCATACCACTTGCACCATCTGATGCAAAGCCTATTAGATTATCTTTATAATTAATATTACATTTTAAAAAGTAATTTACAACAGTGTTGTAAAGTCCTTCTACCGTTGCATCTGCTACAGGCAATATACCAAAGAACAAGTCAGAAATTTTATATTCATAAAAAATACGGGCCACTAAAGCTTAATGTTTAATTGCGCCTTTATCGGTAGATTCATCAGCAATTAATGAAAATTTATTTGTTTGTAATAAATTAATAGAATTTTCAAAACTGTACTGTCCTAAAACATTATTGAAAAAGCTAAAGCTTTGGTGTGAGAACATGTGAAATTTTTAGCAATCTCTGAATCGTCAAATGATATTCTACTAATTTCTGATAAATGGTCTAATGTATACTAAGTGACATATAAATCCGAACACCCAGTTTAAATGGTTTTATTTTAATAAAATTTTGTATAAGTACTTAATGAAGCATAATAAGTAAATGATAAAAATTTCAAAATGATTGCACTGCTTTAAAGCCCTTTGACCTTTAATAATGTGTGGATGCACCCTGATGTGCTACGCATTCTCCAACGCGCCTAGGCATGCTTCTGATCAGGTGGTCAATGTCCTCCTGTGGTATCTCATTCCAGGCAACCACCAACTCCTCTCGAAGTGCTTCTAGAGTCTGAGGAGGACGTTGCAAATTGAGCAATCTCCTACCCATCATATCCCACACGTGCTCAATTGGGGATAAGTCGGGAGATCTTGGTGGCCATGGTAACAATGTGACATCATTATGTTGAAAGAAGTCTATTGTGACTCTTGCAACATGTGGTCGGGCATTATCTTGTTGGAAAGTTGGATCTGCCAGGGTGTCAAGATAGGGTGAAAGATGGGGTTCTAGAACTTCGTGGATATAACGCTGCGCGTTCATGTTACCTCTGATTTATATTAAAGGTGACCTGGAACCATAAGCTATAGCACCCCAAACCATAACTCCAACAGTGTGATGAACATGTCTTTCAACAAAAAACTGTGGATTCCTCCTTTCATCACGTCGCCTTCTAACCCTGGCACGACTATCGTGCATGCCTAAACAAAATCGAGACTCGTCACTAGAGACAATACTGTTCCATTCCTGATCCCAGAGTGACCGTTGTCTGCACCACTCAAGGCGATTACGTCGGTGTTCTCGGGTTAAAGGGAGGACCCAGTGTGGCTGGTATGAAAACAAGCCAAAACTTCTCATTCGTCGGTAAACACTTCGCATGCCAATAGGTCTTCCGTGTTCTGCAAACCATTCATTTGCAATGGACCTGGTAGTAGAGAAACGGTCCCTTAAGGCCAATAATCTTAGGTGGCGATCTTCACGGTCTGTTGTTCTACGGCGGCGTCCAGTGCCCCTTGCTCTTTGCGTACGGCCTTCTCGAAGCCATGCCTGACAACACCTAACCACAGTGTCTACACTTCTTTGCACTCCAACTGCAATTGCCCGAAAAGAAAGTCCAGCTTCCCTAAGTCCCACTATACGGCCCCTATCAAACTCACTAAGTTGACGAAATCGTACAGGTCTCCGTACTCTAGGCATCGTAACCCATCGTAAAGGATGTCAAGAACCAAAATCCGCCAACGTTGATTCTTTACTGCGGCTGAAATATTCATTTTTAGAGCGTTAGTGAATTAAAAAAAAGCAGTATAAAAACCGGGATGTCCAACTGATAAGGCTGAAAATTTTTTCACTTGTTATTTACAGTAAGATAAATACATTCACCAACTTCTATTAAAATAAAACCATGTAAACTGGGTGTTCGGATTTATATGTCACTTAGTATATTAAATGAAATGTTATGTTCAGCTGCATCTGCTGCAATTCGAATTTCAGCAGTTCCGATTTTGTTATTTAATGATGTATTTTCCATATAAGTTGTCATATCGGTCAAAGTTCCTTGTGTGTGTAATGATTTTACCAATTTGGTGTGTTGTTTTCCTGAAGAATGTTTTTGGATTTCGGATTTGACACATAAAATCTTTATTGCATGCCTTGCATAATGCATAATTGGACTGATTCTTGCTGCTCCTCAGCCAACCCCTAAATTCAGGTTCTTGTTCCCATGCAGCGGTATACTTATGAGTAAAGGACTTTATGTTTTTCTTTTTTCTTACGTGTCAAGCTTCTTCAGAAGAAGACAGTGAGGATTCCAATTCATCAGCATGTTTAGAAGTTGATGGTTAAGGTGTAATTGAGGACATGATGTTACATCTGTAATTATAAAGAAACAAATTTAGAAGTTTGGTTTAAAATACATAGATTATAGATATACATTTTATAATATGTATGTCTAAGATATCAATATTTAATTAATTTATAGAAATATAAGAACCTCCCCGATCAAGTATAATAACTGGAAAAGTAGATGTTTTATAATAAATAAATAGGTACTTACCTATGGCAAAAGAGTTCAACGTCGAAAAACTTTAATGATTATTCGTTAATAATTTTAGAGCACAAACTGAAAACAATAGTTATTCTAAGGCACAGTTCGCACAGGGCACAATCCGTACAATCACATTAAACAGCAGGAAATGCAACAGAAACCACCCGGCGGTTTATATATTATAGCCCAGGTATTTCCCCGTATGTAAAATACCGTTCTGGTATTCGGCGACGGGAAATCACCGACGGGAAATCATCGATGAGGAATCACTGACGGGGAACCACAGCGTTTCGTTTAGTAATTCCCCGAATCTTATGAGTCATGATTTCCGACCGGTTTGTTGATACAATTTGGTGTTCGTACATTTCAATATATTTTTGATATAGGAAAATTTCCCAGGTCTGGTAACACTGGTAGGTTGCACGATGAGTCTTATTTGTACCCTAAGGGAAAACGCAGTTTCCAACTATCCAAAATGGTAGCAGAAATAATAACTATGTTGGGATGCTTTGAAGAGCAAAAAAACTCACACGCCACTTCTTACCCAAGGATTGGGTATCTTATTAAGAGTATTTCACTTTGAAGCAGAAGCCAGAGACATATCCCCCAATGGGCACCTATGGGGGTCGCCTAACACATTCCTTTTATATCTTATTACTTGTCAATAAAATGAGAATGTTATCGTTTCATCCTCGATGTAAGACTACCTCATTACAAAAAAGTTAAGTAGAAGGACTTAGTTTTCTGGGTGTAAGTAACACTTCTAATTCCACTGAGTACATTATTTAGTATACTGATTCTCCGAGCTTTTGGTCTGCGAACTACAACGACAAAGGCACATTCACCATTTTTGCAAACCAGCCAAACTTTATCTGCCAATTTCTCAGAAACTAGTCCCACGATTGCTTTGATCCCATGAACACTCTTGGTAGGGAAGGCAAGGCAGATATCGTGCTTAATTTCTAGATAAACCGACTGAGACCCATTTTGCATATGTTTTGTGCCTGCTGCTTGCAATTAACGAGCTATAGAAAATACACTTTACCATTTCTCACACAGCGTGTGTTCACGCTAGATTTTAATGTTAACAAATTTAAGAAATGGATAAAATATAATATTTCAGTTCCCTTGTTGCTTATAAATATCTAAAATCCTTAAAGTCTTCAAGTCAAGGTTTATTCTTGAGTTTAAGCCATACTGCGACTAGAATTTTTATTCTATTGGTGTATAGGGTCTGAATGGCAACGATAACAAACTTCTGTACAGAAACTTTTCTAATTGGGAGTGTCCCGCTTCAGTAAGGGACCAATTCGATGAAGTACATTTAAAGTTTGACTCTTGGGGTCGATAAAACGGGAAAGAAAAGCTGAAATTTTTTGCTTCATATAAATAACACTAACATCCACGGACAGAGCATGAAGCATGTGGCAGCTTTTTGAAAAGTTATTATATTCTTTTTGCAGAGAATTACACTGCTTGAGAAATACAATACATAAAAATTTGATGTGGTCCTACATTTTGACGTATTGTTGTTGGATCATGACACTTCTTATGGTACGTAATCATCTTTAACTTCAATTCAACGCTAGCTAAACCTTATTTCACGAGTATCCATTACGTTTTGACGTCTACTGAGGTACACAGCTGATCAGCAAGTGACATCTGTGTATTAGTCTGAAACGGTGGCAATAATGAATCGAGTGTAAATGTGGTAAAACCTAGATTCGTAATTCGAGCTGTTGTTCACATATCTATACCTCATTCGTAGTCCAGACGCCCTGACAAAACGCAACATGCCCAAAAGCGAGATTGTACAGGTCCGTATTTTCCTCAATAGTCTTGTAATATAATCTAACAAAATAAGTGATTATTTTTATAGAAATAAGTGCAAATACTTTCCACAATCCTTTATTGGCTGGAAGTACTCGAATCATCTTCCGAATGGTTAATATTAATTATTATAGGTTAAATTTGAATATCGACCTTATTGTACAGATCCCACATGTTTGTTTCGATGCTCTCTTGAACGTGATGGATGCAATATATCCAATGGTTTGCCATCACTCGGTTGACAGCTTCATAGGACATACTTTTCACGTCAGAAAATTTGAATGTTCTATTGTATGAAGCCACATAGTTTTTTATGTTTGCGCAAATCATTTCAATGGGATTTAATTCGCAGTGATAAGAGAGTAACGGTCTTATTTTGTTTTTTTTTTGCTATTTCGGCAATAACATTAAGATCATATTTTTAATTGTGCTGCCTGACTAGATGGATAAGTTTTGCTTTGACCATACCTTTGAAACTAATGTCTTTTGAAAAGAGCCATTGTTGAATTTCTGCCTCTTTTGTGGACATCGTGGGTATTTTTTCTAGTTTTCTAGTGTGGTATAAAGCATTATCTAGTTCAATGACGGTTTTGGGAGCGTTACTTCAAACCATCGTTCAAATGAACTGCCGTCCATTTCTTTATGGTAGTCGGTCGTTTCCTTTGCCCATAGGGCAGTGAGTACAAAGCCATTCTCACTGCCAATGTGACAGAGAACAAGTGCATATCTTTTCCTGGAAAGAACTATTTCATATAGTATTCAAGTCAAAACTAATAATTATACAAGCAATCTAACAGATGTTGGTTCAGCGTGGACTCATATGTTCAGTCTACCTGACATCAGTTCTGCAACAGAAATGATGAATTGGTTAGATACATGTACCTGACGGACTCTTTAGACCAATGGTTCGTCCATCTAAGAGCGATTATCTTGCTGATTTAATTCTAGAGTCAGCCCATACTTTAAGCTTTGTATGTCCTGCATTTATCCAGGTTTCATCCAAGTAATGAATCTTCCTGCCCTTGTCACGGTATTTCTTTCTTGATTTTAAATAATTCCTACTCCATAAAATAATCTCTTGTTTGTCCATCAAAATACTATTTCTGGCCCGTTTTCTATATTCAAAATGAAGTTCTTTGAGTAAACTATAGACTATGGTCCTTTTGAAAGTAAGTAAGTCTTCATCACTATTAACCTCCTGAAATACTTTGTCTATGGTGGGAGGTTTCTGCCTTTCAAAAAATTGATGGACTTGGCATTCCGATCAGAGTTATCAACTGTATCCCTCATCTTCATGTATTGCAGCCCCTTGTGTGGTGGAGAAAATGTTCTGTTTTTTTTATATTCTTTAACGCTCAGGCGACTGCCGCTTTGCCGCACTGCATTTTTGTTGTGCCAGGGCGCAAGTGGAGTATGAATAGTTCTTGGAATTTTGACAACAAAATATACTAAGTATTCATTGAAAAGTGTTTATTAGAAAGCTATTATAGTACATTCAAGATTTGCTGATTACGAGGCCACTCAACAGAACAGACCGTGTTGTCCTTTCCAGTAGCTGTTATTTTGCATGTAAAACTAATATACACACGTTTTTTTATTCAGGGTGGCCCATCCACACGGAATATTACTCATAAATAAATATATTTTGAAAAAAACTATTAATGGCATGTTATACATGACATTTGAAGGCACATTTCTAAAATACTGGCAATTGTACAGGGTGTCCAAATTTTGACCTTCATATCAAAGCTGTGATTTTTTAAATAAAATGCCTCAAGTTCTATTGAATATTTGGATCCATCAATTAAAAAGAAGAATATTGATATAACATGCTATGGGGTTTTGGTAGCTAGCTACTGAGATGTAAGGTGTTTTGACCAGAAAAACCGTCCACTTCGGCAACCCCACAATCCGCCATTTTGAAATTTGTAGTGCTAAATTAAAAAAAAAACTTACGCACCTCAGCAATTATCTCATTTGTGACTTTTTCGAATTTCCATTTTTGCTCATACAGGGTGGTCAAAAACGCGAATTGTACTTTTTCTCAAAAATTTCACATGCATCACCCTGTATATTTGTGCAAGCTTGGATTCCATTTTCAATAAGCTTTTTTTGGTATAAGTTTGATTCAGATCAAATCACTAGATTTTGTGATATTAAGCTTTTAATAGAGCAACACACCAAAATTAAGAAAAAAAATCACATCATCCATGGAAACAAAAGACAAACAGCGGGCTAGTTCCATATTGTCACTAAGAGTTCAGATTTGACTTACAAACTAATAAAAATCAGAACAATATAAATCGGCTTCAAGCGTAATAGGGAAAAATAACTATAACAACAACATAAACAAACAGCTATCACTACTCAAGACCTAATCTACAAAAACTGCTCGAAAATATCTCCACCATGTCTAATACACAGAGGTAGTCTTTGGATAAATGACCGTTGCACATCCCTCAGCATGTGTTCCCTTATGTTCAGAATAGCATTCTTAATCCTTTCCTTCATATTTTCCGGGGTAGATGGTGGATATCTATAAAGATCTTGCTTAACGCAGCCCCATTGAAAGAAGTCCATCGGTGTAATATCTAGTGATCTAGGAGGCCAAGGTATAGGCACATCACGACCGATCGAACGATTGTTACTCCAGGTCTCCAAATAGTTACGCTCACGATTATGATAATGCGCAGGTGTGCCGTCATGTTGGAAGTACGTACGCATCCGAGTTTGCAGGTTGACATCCTCCAAAAGCAAAGGCAAATGCTCGATCAAAACATTCAAGTGTTCTGTACCTGATAATAAGCTGTAGAAGAAGAAAGGTCCGATAACTTGTCTGCCTTCGAGCTCCATTCATTTTGCAAATCTATTTGCCTAACCCAGTAAGGGTTTTCCGATGCATAATAGTGCATGCTATGCCTGTTGACAACACCTATGCTGTTAAAAGTTGCCTCATCGCTAAAAAGAACCTTATCCAAGAAAGTAGTATCTTCACTCACTTTATTTAGCATTATTCTACTAAATCCCTTCCAAACTGCGAAATTCTGAGGACGAAGGCCTTGATGCAAGCATAGGTGATATGGATGATACCTATGCCTATACCTATGAATAATCCTTTGGACAGAAGTTCTGCATATATCAGTTTCTGCTACAATTTGCCGTGCATTTAAATGGGAATTTTCCTGCAACTTTAATAGAACCTCCAACTGATTCACCTCATTGGTGACACTTGGTTTATTTATACATTTTTTACTATGCTCCACTGCTCCAGTTGATTCAAAACGTTTTCGTAGTGTGGAAAATGTTTCCGGCCTTGGATGTCGCATATTCTTAGGGTACCGCTGCTTATAAATGCGAGATGCTAGGAAACTAAACGAACACCATATTCACCATTTCTTCTTTAGAAAAATTCATTTTCAAACACGTTTTAATGATAATGCTGACAAAGCTAATTTTGATAGTTTGTAACTAATCAACAATTTATTTGTTTCCAAGGATGATGCGATATTTTAGGGAATTAAGCCGTTCCATAAAAGACGTGCTAATAACCGAAACAATAGCCGTAAAACCCCTTATGCGCCTTGTATCAAAAAAAAGGTTATAAAAAATTGAATCCAAACTTGCACAAATATACAGGGTGATGCGTTTGAAATTTTTGAGAAAAACTACGAGTTGCGTTCTTGTATGAGCAAAAATTAAAATTCGAAAAGCAATAAACAAGATAAAAGCTGAAGTATGTAAGTTTTTTTTGATACAAAATTCAGTACTCCAAATTTCAAAATGGCGGACTGAGGGGTTTTAGCAGTGGGAGGTTTTTCTAGTTAGAACACCTTATATCTCAGTAGCTAATAACCAAAATCCTATAGTATGATTTATCAATTTTCTTCTTTTGAATTGTTTTTTCCAAATATGCAATAAAATTTGAGGCATTCCATTTGAAAAATCATAACTTTGACATGTAGGTCGAAATTGGGATACCCTGTATAATGGACAATATTTCAGAAATGCGCCCTCAAATGTCATGTGTAACATCCCATGACTAGTTTTTTCCAAAATGTATCTGTTTACGAGTAATATTCCATCCACACATGGATCGACCACCCTGTATATCACAGTTCCGCAAGGCCTTAAATGTCCATGACTTACAAAGTACAGTACCGAATTTTCTTTTTGTATTCTAATCCCTTTACTCAGACTCCATTCTGTAAACAACCCTCCTCCATGCATTTCGGTCCGCAGCCTTTTCTCTCCATGAATTCACTTCTTACATCCCTAAATCCTCATTAACACCATCCATGTCTTCCAAGGCCTTCTCCTCGGTTTCTTTCCTCCCGTTCCTTCTAGAAGTACTTTTCTGACATGTCTATTGCCCTTCAAGCAAGCTACGTGCCCCAACCATCTAATTCTTTGAGCCTTGACTGATTTTAAAATAGATGAATACCCATCCATTTCTGCTACATCATCATTTGTCCTTCTTCTCCATAGTCTCCCCAAAGAGTTTTTCATTCTCACACCTCCAGTTTAACTTGTGTTTTCTGGGTGATTATCCAGGCCTCACACCCGTACATAATTATTCATCCCGAGTCTACTAAAAATACTAGTTAAAGAACTCACCTTTATCACGAGAATTTTCAAAAAACTAGATCATTTTAATTAATATCGCTGGACGGCAAACGTATATAAGACAGTGACACATCCCTGGAAATATTGGTGAGACGAACAGC